GGTTGGTGGTTTTGAACTGCTGAACTTGTGGTTTGCTAGCAGCTCGATGTGTAACCACTATGCCTCCCCACCCCAACCTGGAAGAGGACATCGTGCTGAGTCAAGTAGAGGGTCTGCATCAGTGGGCTCGAACATAAGAACAATTGCAGACTGGGGGGCTGGGATGAGCATGGTTAGCTTTTCAGACACACTTTAAGCCGGCCCCAACTTATCACCGGGAGGTCTCTTAAGAGGTGGTTCCCGGAAGGTGTCTGCGTTGGCCTGCGTTGAGCACCACAGCGAGTGACTTCATTGTACAGTGGAGCATCCCCTTTGCCTCTGCTCTCTTGCAGCCCAGTTACTGAGCCTGAAAGAAAAGCTGAAAGGCAACTACCTGCTGGCAGGCACCGTGGAGGGTAGGTTCCCGCTTTCCTGTGAGACACGGATAGTCATCTGGAGGGTGGTGATTTCCAGAGGAGCCCCGTGGTGTAGTGGGTGAGATGTTGGGCTGGTAGCCGCAAGGTCAGCAGTTCGAAACCACCAGCTGCTCCGAGGGACAAAGCTGAATCCTTCTACTCCAGTAGAGATGTACAGCCTCACACAACCACGGGGACAGTTGTCCCCTGTGCTACAGGGTCGTAGGAGTCCAGACTCACTGCTACCGAGTCAGTGGCAACTCCTAGTGACCCTATAGGACAGGGTAGAACTGTCCCTGTGGGTTTACAAGGCTGTGACTCTTCATGGGAGCAGAGAGCCTCATGTTTCTCCCACAGGGTGGCTGGTGGTTTTGAACTGCCGACCTGCTAAGGGACTCTGATGCACGGCGATCCTGCCTGTGCAGAGTAGACCTGGCCCATGGGTTTTAGAGGCTGTGACCTTTTGGGGTTCACTCTCTAGGCCTCTTTTTCGAGGTGCTTCTGGGTAGGTTTGAACTGCCCCACCTTAAGGCTAGTAGTCAAAGGCTTCACCAATTGTCTCAACCCCATTAAAGGTCTGCTTCCCGGAGTTGTTTCTCTCTCAGGGTGACCCTGCAGGACAGCACAGCCACCCTCATGAAACCACATGCCCATGCCTGTCTCCTGTCTTCTAACTGCTGACCGCGGCTGCCTGGTTTCTCCGGGTCTCTTGAGTGTCCTGCATTGGACGGAGTGCAGTCCCCTCCCCCCCACCGCCCCCTTCTCTCTCATTTTAGTGGAAAACATTTGCGTTCCGTCTCCGACAGGTTTCTGCCTTGCCCAACAGAGAGCAGGGACCCTGGTAGAGCAGCGGGTTAAGCCCTGGGCTGCGAACCCCAAGGTCGGAGGTTCAAACCCACCGGTTGCTCCTCCTCTGGAGAAAGACGAGGTGGTCTGCTCTCGATGGGACAGTTCGACTCTGCCCTGCAGGGTCGGTCGCTGTGAGCCAGAATTGACTTGATTGCTATGGGTTTGGGTTTGGGTTTGGGTTTGGCTTCAGATGGGAGGTCAGGGTTAGGCAGGGTGCCCATGGGCAGGAAGGAGCCAAATTGGGATTCAAACCTGCCAGGCAGGATTCTCCCCTCGAGCCAACCCCCTGATTCAGAGGTGAGACAGTTTCTGCTCTCTAAAGCCACCCGCATTGGCGGCCCAAATGGTGAAGTGCCCAGCTATAAACGGAAAGATTGGTAGTTTGAACCCACCGGGCAGTGCCGTGGCAGAAAGGCCTGGCAACCTGCCTCCGTAAAGATTCCAGGTCTCCCAGGTCCTGCACCTGCACACTCCAAGCACCAGACTCACTACCTTCATCAAGTCAATTCTGATGCACAGCCACCTACTTTATGGGGACCCTGGTGGACCAGAGGGCTGCTCATCGGAAGGTCCACGGTTCCGACCCACCAGCCACTCTGAGGGAGAAAGAGGAGGCTTTCTGTTCTGGTAAAGATTACCAGTCTCAGAAACGCCCCAGGGGCAGCTTGGGGAGAACAAAGCAACCACAAATGGGTAACCAGAAGATTGATGGTGGTGGGGGGGTGTCCACAAGCCAAAGCCT